TCTATTGTTCTCATTTTTGTGACTGTACTGCATTTCTATCCCCTTTTCATTTTAAACTTTAGTTTTTTCAATGAATGATACACATGTACATAAGTCTTTTAGCAATTTCTTTCAGTATTCCCCTTCATCTTTTACAATAAGATGTTTTTATTGCTATTTGTTTAAATGTTTAACTGTTCAGTTTCCATTATGAAATATGAGGACCACAAGGATCCAGTTCTTTTTTTACCCATGTCCTATCCCATCCCCAGCCTACCCCACACATTTTTCTTGTTCCTTTCATAGTCTATCCATAATTCTGGTTTAGATCAGTATTAAGCTTTTACATTGATGTGACTTTGTAAATAACATACTCAGTGTAATAAAATATATTTCCTTTTTGTGTAACTTTTCTTTCCCCCAGAGCTAATAGCTAAAAATCTCCAATCTCACTCTGTCTTCTATTATGCATTGCTAATTTACCCTCAAACTCTAGCAGGGGGTTCTGTCTTCTCTCAGTGTTCAAACCCATCAAGCAGTCTAGCAGCTCCATGTTTTTCTGGGGGACATTCCTCTCAGAACCCATGTCCCTGCCTCAGTCTGGCTCCTTCCTATGGGAAAAGCACACCTGTAATCCTGTGAGCTCCTTCCTAATCCTCCTGGACATTCCCAGCACCTCATTCTCGAGTTAGGTCATCTGTTCTTACATCCCATATCTTCCTATTTCTTTGTCTGTGCCCGTATTTTTAAAAAGAGCCCCCTTTTGTGGCTTCCTGAGGAAAGATGGGGAGTAGAGGTGTTGAGACCTGCATGACTGAGAATGTCTTTAGACCTCTCTCATTCTTGAGAATAGCTTCGCTACATATAGAATGATTTCCCCTTAGAATTTTGAAGGCAAATCTTTATGAATTTTAGTTTCATTGTCAAAAGGTCCTATGTCATTAGAGCTCTTTTTTTGTTTGTTTTGTTTTGTTTTTTTGAGACAAAGTCTTGCTCTGTTGCCCAGGCTGGAGGGCAGTGGCGCGATGTTGGGTCACCGAAGCCTCAATCACCTGGACTCAAGCAATTGCCCCACCTCAGCTTCCCGAGTGGCTCATGCCACCATGCCTGGCTAATTTTTGCTTTTCCTTTTTTGTTAGAAATGGGGTTTTGCCAGGTTGCCCAGGCTGGTCTTGTACTCCTGGTCTCAAGCAATCCTCTTGCCTCAGCCTCCTAAAGTGCTGGGATTACAGGCATGAGCCACTGTGCCCGGTCACATCATTATAATTCTTTATCGATTATATGTCACACACTCCCCCTTCTCTCCTGGAAAATATTCTCCTTTTCCCTCGTTTTCTAAAATTTCATAAAGTGCCCAAATAGGATTTTTATTTATTATATTCAGTGTTAGGTGAACTCTTTCAGCTTGGAAATTCATATTCTTCAATTATAGGAAATGTTCTTAGACTATTTTTAAAAATAATTTCTGCCCCTCAGTTTTCTCTGAACTCTTTGGAACTAGACTACTGACTAATTATTGCACCACCTGAAAGGTTACCCTCAATTTTTTCTTTTCTTTTTTTTCCCCTACTTTTCATCTCTTTCTGTTTTACTTTCAGAGAAATTTCCCCAACTTTATCTTCCAATCCTTCTATTTTTTTTTTTTTTCCTGTTAAGTTTTATTAACTGGGGTTATGAGGAGAGTCTGATCACAACACCAACACATTATGAAAACAGTAGGAAATTACAGAAAGACTTGCAATAAGTTTAAACAGAACAAATTAAGCCAGCCCCCTGGTCTTCTGAGAAACAATGAGGTAAAATTGCAGAGACCAAATCTTTGTCAGCGATAGAGGATGCAGGTTAAAAATGTAGACATCATCGCCCCCTAGTGTTGTAAAATAACATGCAATGCTATCTATTTATTCATTTTTGAAGCTTTAATCTTCTACCTTGTCACTGAGCCTCAATTATTTCCTCAATTTCAAGCCCTCTTCAGTCAATCTTTTCCCTCATATCAGTAACTTTCAAGTATCTTATTTGAAAATATAATTTGCCGGGCGCGGTGGCTCACGCCTGTAATCCCAGCACTTTGGGAGGCCGAGACGGGCGGATCACGAGGTCAGGAGATCCAGACCATCCTGGCTAACATGGTGAAACCCCGTTTCTACTAAAAATACAAAAAAATTAGCCGGGTGTGGTGGTGGGCGCCTGTAGTCCCAGCTACTTGGGTGGCTGAGGCAGGAGAATGGCATAAACCCAGGAGGCAGAGCGTGCAGTGAGCCGAGATCGCGCCACTGCACTCAAGCCTGGGGGACAGAGCAAGACTCCGTCTCAAAAAAAAAAAAAAGAAAAAGAAAAAGAAAATATAATTTGTATTAATTCCTCTTTCAGACCCCATAAATTCCTTTCCAGGATACTGGCCACCTCCCAGCACAAGAGTCTATGCTCTTGCTCTTTTAAATGCAAGCCAAAACAATAGCGTTAGTCTTTTTAAATCAAAATTAGAGGATTAGCATGTATTTATTGCAAACTTTAATTTCCTCTAAAAGGCATCTTTACTCTGCAACTTGTCATTGCCATTTTTCATAACCAGAATGCATTCCTTCACCATCTGCCTCCTGACTTGGCAACCATCAAGAATTCTGGCCTGACCAGTTAACTTGCTAAACCATCTTTGCTGTTATATACCAGGAAACACTGGAAAAGAGACATAAATAATAAACCTCCATATCCTAATGTCCCAGCTTAATTTATAGGCAGAATTTCATTTGTTGGCTAAGGGAAGAAAAACCATCTACGTAGAGTGAGCTTGGGAGGAAACTGGAGTAGGGAGAAAACATGATGGCAAGATAGGTCTGTGGGAACCGTGGGTGCAGTGCTGCTCTCAAAGTTTTCATTTCTGTGACAAGAGCTCTTTTTCATATGTTCATTTTTATCGATTCCTGTTTTTATTTAAATAGATGGAAATATCTTATCTTGACTCATTGAATACATTTATTACCTCGTTTTGAGTGTTTTCCTAATCACTGCATTGGCTCTGTTAGTTCTACTTTCCTTTGTCCAGCTGTCCTATTGTTGCTTTTGCTTTATAAGTTAAAATACTTCCTCAGTGTCTGGAGGTCCTTGGAAGTCAATTTCCATGCAAGAGGGAGACATTGAAAAGCCTGGGGAAGCTCTGATTGAGGGGGTGCTTGTTGACTGACAGGTGGGCTTCATAGGAGGGTAATATGGCTGGAAAATTTTCTTAGGATTCCAAGGATGGGGTCCTTGACTTCTTTTCTTTTTTTTTTTTTTTTCCGCTCTGTCGCCCAGGCTGGAGTGCAGTGACGTGATCTCGGCTCACTGCAAGCTCTGACTCCTGGGTTCACGCCATTCTCCTGCCTCAGTCTCCCGAGTAGCTGGAACTACAGGCGCCTGCCACTATGCCCGGCTAATTTTTTTATGTTTTTAGTAGAAACAGGGTTTCACCGTATTAGCCAGGATGGTCTCGATCTCCTGACCTCGTGATCTGCCTGCCTCGGCCTCCCAAAGTGGTGGGATTACAGGTGTGAGCCACAGGACCTGGCCCAACCTCTTTTCTTAGATTGGCCAGTTTCCCCAGAAAATCATTCTTCAATCTCCTGCCAGAGGAGAGGGGCTGGAAGTTCTTTTGTTCATACACAGCTTTACACTCAGTCCCCCTGTCTCTTGCATGTTAGCTGCCCCTTCAACTGCACCTTGTGTGTCTCAGTGCATACCTCCCTGTGAGCCTCCTCAGAGGGGGAGTATTCAGTCTCTCGCTGGAACTGGGGAAAGGCAGCCATCCTGCTGCAGGCAGGGCTCTGCAATTCTGTTTCCATACAGGCTTTTGGCCCATTCCTCTGTCTTCAGTCCCTCTGTGCCCTTGCCTCCTCCTTCCAGAAGGACCCAGTGTTTTTACATCTTGACCTTTCTAGGGGTCTGTGGTACAAAACAGGACGTTTCTAGGCTCCCCGACTAACAGGTTACATTTTTGTTTTCTCTCATCTTGTAACTCTATTATCAGTTGTCCATTTGCTTTCTGGCTCCCAAGATTTTGCAGGTGGCATCACTGTGTTTTCTTCATTCTTCTAGATTCCTGCCACCTTTAGTTCTATGTCATTAGGTGGTGTTTTGAGGGGAGCAGGGGCAAACGAGTGCTTTTCTGCCATATTTACTTGCTTTTTTGTATAACACCTTATGAAACTACAGCAAAGTAAAGTGCACTATTTTCATTTCATGAATAGAATTTTGCAGAAACTAAAAACAACGATCAGTATGCAGGGAGGTGCTGAGGAGTACAAGGCCTGGGAGAGAGTCCCCTGCTCCAGCCACACTGGCAGGTTCTCACAGTAATGGTAGCTTCGCCGCCCCTACACCCACTCTGAAGCTGAAGCATAAATCAACAGCCCTAACTGGAAGGCCCGTGCCAATGCTTTCCCTTTCTGCCCCCTCAGCCTGAGAGCATCCACCCCTTCCCTATCCTCAGCCTTAGAGATAAAGGAAGCTGGTTTGATGTAAAAGACAACTTTAGTTAAGAAACACAGCTGGTCTTCAGTCCTCCTGTTCTTTTCAAATTTGACCTTGGTCAGGCTCAAGAAATGTTTGTTGAATGCCTGTTATAGACATGCCTCTGTGTGCACTGAAGTTTCAAAAATGCGAGACGGTTCTCTGCCCTTGAGGAGTTCAAAGTCTCACTTACTCCCTGATGCCTCACTAAGTCCCACATATTAATCAGGACTGGCTTCTGCACAGAGAAGCACTGAGTGGTGGCTGAGCCGCCACTTGACATTGGGTTTTCCGTCCCATGGACCCTAGTTTCTTTCATTTTCTGTATACACATCTAAAGCAGAATTATTATGGAAGGTCACTAGAAATTAGGTTGGATTCTGATGTATGACAATGACTGTAAAAGTAAAATATTAACATTCTTCTTTAAAGAAAAAACGATCCCAGCAGTCCCCTCCTGCTGGGATCGTTTTTTCTTTAAAAACAACCCCTGTAACTGGTGCGTCATGTGTGTCTGAGGTTCTTGCATTGGGTCAACTGATGGGGGATCCTGTGGTGACTAGTTTGTAGTAGGCTCCTTTTTGGGCCATCAGTTCTTCGTGGGTTCCCTTTTCAATCACCACCCCCTGTGCCATGACAGCAATGATATCCGCGTTCTGGATGGTAGACAAGCGATGGGCAATGACAATGCAGGTCCGACCCTCTCTGGCTTTGTCTAGAGCAACCTGCACCGTCTGCAAAGAGAAGATGGAAAGTTGATGCAAAGATGCATGATTGCTCCCCAGCCCACCATCATGAGAGTTCAGTTAACATGACCTGAATAACAATTCTATACTTGAGGGCAAATCCAAAGGTTTGACATGAGAGAGGATTAACTAAGTATTCTCTGAGTGCAATGCATCAGTGATTTCAATGGCAGTGCACAGGCTGAGAAATTTCAGTGGAGCAAGAAGGAAGCAAACTATGAAGCCTCTATGTAATTTTACAATATTTGATGGTCTAGCTTCCTGAAATGAAACCAAGAAAACAATGGAGGGTGGCAGTTAAGTGGCCGTTCCTGATACTGCTCTTCATTGAAGACTTTTTAGCTCTCTCCAAAATGGAATCCCAATTGTTATGGCATTAATTATACATTTTAAATTTCATAATTGTGTTCTGCTCAATTGCATCTTCTTTCATGCAAACCACACATCAGATATTACCACTTTCTTTGTGTTGTATGTGGCCTACCTTCTCTGTCACATACCTTTAGAACTATAAAATATTTATAATGGATCATCTAGATTATTTCACTTTATTCAAGAAAGGTGATCATTTGCCTTTGGAAAAAAATGTCACTTAGCCTAAAGAATCTTAAAATCAATTCTTATTTTAAAGGTAAAATATTTTATTTGAAGCAATCTTATATTAAATCACTTGCTCTAGATAATTGTCTTTTGGTTTCATAAAGTATTGCCAAATTCTACTGTTAATAAATCAGAAAATTGAAGATAATGCCATTTTATAAGGACAAATTTTACAGCCAAAGACTCATTTGTAACGATATAAGACTTTAGAAAATCAGTACTTACCTTTTCACTTTCTGTGTCTAAGGCAGAAGTGGCTTCATCTAGTAGCAAGATTTTAGGATCTCGTACAATGGCCCGAGCAATAGCAATGCGTTGTTTCTCCCCTCGAGAGAGTTGAGACCCCTGGGACCCAACGTTAGTTTCATATTTCTGAAAGAAGTATGGTAAGTTTGAGAAATAGAAACAGTTATTGCTCCTGTGCTGTACAGAACTCATGTCAAGTTCTCCTCTGTAATTTAAATTATTTATTTGTTGAACTAGGGAATAGTGAGTGAATCCTCCTATAGGATGAAGGATGTCAAATCCACTTAGGAATATAAGAAAAACATGGAATTTGTGACCTTTGATGTGGGAAGCAAGGGGACTTTATTCCTCATGTCTGCATTTCTTTTAGGTTTATATTTTCAATCTCCTCCCTGTGTCCAGGTAGGAGCCCATATATGAGATCCTCTTTGATTTGAGACTGTCTGATTCTACACTCTTATCTGGAAAAATCCTTCCAAGATGGACTAATCTCAAGAATGGAAATGTCTTTGTGAGATCTTCTGGTCCATTTCTGTATTAGGGAGGTGACAACCTGGAACACAGGCCTTGGTTAGAAGCTCCACTCTGCTGCTTACTAGCTTGTGTTCATGAATAAATTATTTACATTTTTTTGAGCTGGCTAGTCATCTGAGGCGCAGTATTAACACTCACTTCAAATATTTATTGTGAGTGTTAGATAAAATTAGGAAGAAAAATCACTCATGCCTGGGATGGCTACATAAAAATTAGTTAACATTCACAGTGTGTTTACCATAGAGGTATTGTGCTAACTATTCTAGCAAGGTTATCATTTAATACACACAGAAACCATACCCACCCTATTTTTTTTAGATTACAAAACTTAGGCACAGGGAGTAAGAAAATGGTGTGAGGACAAGTAACAAGCAGTGAAAGTGAAATCTGAATCCAGGTGAAAGTGAATCTGTCTCTCCTTTGAGTACCTTGACTACTGCTCTTCCTGCCTTCCACAACACAAGCTGTTTCCTTCCCCAGCTTCCCTTGCCTCCTGATGAAAGCTCCATCATGCCAGGTGAGACCCATGAAAATCTGCTTTGTCCTTGTGGAGACAAAGTGCTCAGAGAAGGGTACCATGGGGAAGTCTGTATGAGGACAATGTAGTAAACCAGCTCCATGCCAGCACCGCGCCCCAAATGAGTAGGTATTCAATAAGGGTTTGTGGGATAAATGAGTCTCCCAGGAGACACACAAGCTTTGCTTTTGAACTCTGGATTCAGCAAATAGTAATTTCCATGTGCTTATAGATTGGGCTAACAGGTAAGAACCGGGCCAAGAGCCTAACACTTAGGAAACTGTGAAAAGAGCAAACAAAAAGCCCTCCACAAACACCACAAAATTTATAAACATAATCACTTATAAAGAAAAACAACTTTCCCAGGGATATTTTAAAAAAGTAAGTAGAGAAGGTAAAAGGTAAAATTTGGCCCTACAATTTGGTTTCCATGTTTTAATTTTTCTTGTGATCAAAACTAAGAGGGACTTTTGGTGGATGGGAAAATGCAGAGACAATATTGTGTGAAATCTGGACTTGGCTCTGGCAAAGTAAGAGACACCAAGGCAGGTGCAACTTACCCACCACCCACGGTACACACTGCCAAGTAATGAAATAATGATGATGGCAGTAATACCAGCGGCAGCTTTCTTTGTGTAGCTATTAAGTGTGTTTTCTTCATTTTAACGTTATTTTCTTGCATTTTGCAGATGGAATAGACAATCTCAGAAAGGATAATTGTCCCAAAGCTATGAAGCTACTAAGTGGCAAAGCTTGGATGCAAGCCCAGGTCAGCTCCAAATCTCAGGCTTTTCCCCACTATGCTAAACTAAAGCTCAATGTGCAAAATAATTCTACAAAAATAGCATCCATTGCATTGGGCAATCCAATATCTTCCAAAATTAAAGAGTATGTTGATGAAGGATATTTCTTTTGCTTAAAAAACTAAGACAGTCCGGGGCCACTGTGAGATAAATTGTGTACCCTTTGACCTTCTAGAGCCACAGTCATAATACAGATTGAATATTTCTTATCAGAAATGCTTGGAACCGGAAGTATTTCAGATTTTGGACTTTTTCAGATTTTGGAATATCTGCATATAATGAGATATCTTGGGGATAGGACTCAAGTCTAACCACAAAATTCATGTTTCTTATCTACTTTATACACATAGCCCAGATGTAAATTCCTACAATATTTTTAATAATTTTGTGCATGAAACAAAGTTTTGACTGCATTTTGACTGTGGCCCATCATACGAGGTCAAGTATGAAATTTTCCACTTGTGGGATCGTGTTGGCACTCAAACAGTTTTGAATTTTGGAAAATTTTGGATTTGGGATTTTCAGATTAGGGATGCTCAACCTGTACACTTTGGTCATTCTACTTCTCCCCATCCTTGTCTCCCACAGGGAATGGCTCTGACTTCGTACTCACCTCTGGGAGTGACATGACAAAATCATGCAGCTGAGCCTGTTTTGCAGCTGCTATGACTCTTTCCACGGGAATTTCTTTGGTGTTGTCTCCATACTTGATATTGTCCATTATGCTACAGGCAAACAACACTGGTTCCTGGGAAACTATTCCAATGTTTGAGCGCAGGAACTGGATGTTTACTTTTTTGCTGTCATGCCCATCTATCATCTGCCAATAGAAGAGATGACAGGTCATTAAGTTTTCAGAATTTCAGCAGCGAGGAAAGTTCATATGCTAGTGTTAGGCGTTATGCAGGACATTTGGCTTGTTTAACAGACAGCAATCCCAAGGCTAAAATTACGGAATAAATTATGCTGCCTTTGACCTCTGGACGTAATGTCTATCAGGAGTGGCATCCATGTTAACACTAATCAGACTATAGTCCTATTTATTTCCTGAACTCTGGCTCTACAGGTGAAACAAATGAGAAAGATGCTCAGGTATTCAGGTAAGAAACAACTTCCCCTTACTTTGCTGCAGCACACTGTCTACAAATATACAGGGTTGCTCTATTTTGAGACTCATGAGTTACGGAAAGGATTTTTGTCTGGGAAGCTTTTGGGCAATATAAGGATCAAACCTGTTTTCTTGATTTTACTAACGCCATTCTCTGAATAACTGAGGTAATAAAACCAAGTAAAAAAGGAATACATTTATTCACTTAGTCAATCAACAAACATATATTTGAATCACCTGCCACAAAGCACCATCCTAAGCAGTCTATGTCTGCTACGTAAAGAAAATATTATCTCTGTTTCCTTGGAACTCACAGTCTAGTTAGGCAGTGAAGTACAGGTACTTGAATATCTACAACATGAGCTGGTTCACAAAAAAGTCCTAGAATATTAAAGGCACAGTATGCCTAACTTACTACTGTAAAGTACTTGGCCCTATTATTTCAGAAAAAATGGTGATAAATGGTATGAACAGATTATATTTAAGATAATTTCTAAGTAATGGAAAAAGCAAACACTATTAGAAAAAGTATAAAGCATTTCTCAATAACAATTAGCCCTGGCTTTGCTTTATGCAAGGAAATCTTTAGTTGCCTCTTTCAAGTTTTTCTCAGCATGTCTTTTCATAATGTTATCTGTCCTCATTACACTAAAGATTATACTATTCAGGGAAGTCAGAAAGGCCACTTTCAAAATATTAGCATTCAACAGTGAATCAAGTATGGAGCAAAATAAAACTTTTTCAGACCTATATCTATGAACGATTTCTTAGAAAATTGCTTGTGGATGAGCTCCAACAAAGGGGGGTGAAAACTATGAAAAGGGCATTTATGGGAACTATGAAATAATGCAAGGAATCCTAATCCAAGGAATCCTAATCCTAGGAAATATCACAGGGAACTCACAGGACGACACAGGACTGTGAAATATCACAGGGAACTCACAGGACGACAACTGTTCAACAGGCAAAGGTTGCAAGTGACAGAAATGAGGGAATAGATGGCCTGAGAGGGACATTGGAAGAACACAAAGGTTTTGATAAAGACAAAGAATACAAGAAAAAAAGAAACCTTTCAGAAAAACAATCAAGAAAAAATATAACACAAATGTAACTCACTATTTGACTAAGGGATGAACAATATTTACATAATCATTTAAAAAGCTGTCAATTGGTTTTCAACTTTTAGAATCAACTTAGAGTGAAAGCAGGAAAGATAATGTTGTAAACAGAATGTGCTCTGAATTCTTAATAGTGCAGTTAGAACTTAAGAGGTAAAAGAAGGGAGTAAGAGGTGAAAATAAAGGTAGGATTGCTAACATTTTTATTTTAGAAAGCGAGAATTCAAGAGGAACTATCTACAGGTGGTGGAAGAGCAACGGAAGCAGATCAGAAGTTTACAGATTTATAAATAGAAGGTCTAAAAAATGATATAACTACATTGGGAGGAGGTAGGAAAAAGGAGGGGGTGGTGAGGGTAAGTAGATTTTTATCTCTTGAGAATAAATCACAGAGAGTCTAAATTTGTTAAATCATGAAACAGCAGGAGCATATTATTTAAAGACATAAAAGTAATCATCAGCAGATCAAAAACATCAAGTGGTCAAAGATAGTTGCCTTTGGGCAGAGAAATGTGGAGTGGGAGTATAAGCATAAAGCAGGGGGGCAACTTTTCATTATAAATGTTTATTATTTGATTTTGTGACCTTATGTATATATTACTTTTAAAGAAAGAAAAAAAGGACAGAAAAGAGAAAGAAATGTTATGAAAAATAAATAACAAAGCTATTCACCAAAATTTCAAATATCTTTGCCAAAGATTTACGGTACATGGCTCTCAATCTGAGTTCCTTGCCTTATTTAGATTTCAGCTTCTTGAACAAGGATTGTCTTAGATCTTTTCATGCTAAATCTCCTTTCTTGCTCATTTATCATTATTTCCCTTATCACTCTACTTTTTTCATTCCTGGTCATTAGTTTCCTGATTAGTCTGCACTTTCTGCTCCATTTATGGGTAAATGAATGCTTCTATTAAATACAGTGTGCCCAGTTTTCTTTGCCTAACTGGTCAGCAGGCCATCTGGAACTGGGGAAAATCTGACATTAGAAATTGTGAGGGAGAATAAGGTGAAGCAGCAAATGACTGGGACTGGAAAATATGCATGGGGTAATGCCTAAGGCAAGCATTTTAAAGTGAGTCTGGCAAAGCAAAAACTTGAAGCCAAAAACTTCGAAATAGTCTGCAGAAGGCAAAATTCTCAAAAAGGTTGTGGCTTACCACTTTTCCTTGATCAGGATCATAGAAACGTTCCAACAGCTGAATGCTGGTGCTTTTGCCACATCCACTGCTCCCAACAAATGCCAGTGTCTGCCCTGGACTAATCGACACTGAGAGACCATTCAGAACTTGCGTGTCAGGTCGAGAAGGATATGTAAATTTACAATCAACAAAATCAATCTTCCCCTGGAAGTTGTTCTGTGGATGGGAGGAACAAAATTAGAGATGCTCTTACTGGAGCCTAGAATATTGAAAACACACCTAAATCTTGAGTTTAAAATCCCTACTTGAGATACCTTCAAACCACGCTGCCAAAATGCAAAGTATAGAGACAGTAACTTAATAAAAGGACATTCCATTTTCTATTCTGAAAGATGTAGTATAAAGAAAGGCTTGGGCAACAAAATTAAAGACATTTGACTCCCCCATTCCCAGTCTAACCTAAGGGAATTTTCTTGCCATCCATTCCTGACATTCTGAATAGAAGAGAACAGCTGGAAGATATTACATCACAGAAGCCAGTAACTGTCCAAACCCTATAGCTTTGTTCCCCCAAAGACTAAAAATAATGTTACACTTAAAACGACCTAGAAAGAAAGTTACCTGAGGTCTGTACTGCAAAGGTGAATATTTTCTATTGTACTTTGGTGTGCTTAAAACTCTCTAACCTATAAACTCTAGAAATGGATAGACATTTAACAGAACACACAGAAACTTTACATTTACTGAACTGAAGGAGAAATTTTACAAATTTAGAAAGATAACGAATTTAGCTTAGCTTTACTAGTGTTTAGGTTTGCTTTGCTTTCTGGAACATACTAAAATTTTCAAAAATAGGTAGAGAAGATTTAAAAATACATATCTATCAATTAGAAGAAGATATTTTGTCAAGATTGAATTAATTTTCTGGACATCCATATAAGCTAAAACTTGAATCAAGATGAACATGAATTAAATCAATGTTATTGGACAGGAAGAATTGATTTTTCTACATTCCGTATCAGAACATCAATAGAAAACACAGTGGTTAGGTGGATCTCAGAGGACAACTGGCTTCATTCATTCAGGAACTAAGTGTATTTTATATTACACAGAATTTAGCATTCATTGAAAGTCATCGCCTTGTTCAAATGCCAGCTTTAGGAATAATTTTTGATGCTAATTTACTTTATTCCTGTGTAGTTATAAATCTACTTTGTGTCCACTCCGAGTACGTATGAATGAACCCATACACAGCAGGAATTTAGAAGCCAAGTGGTATTGATGGCCATCCCTAATGGCTGTCCTGCACACACACACACACACACACACACACACACACACACGCACAACCTTACCCCTCATCAATACTTACACATTTTATTTATGTATTTTATTAGACTTTAACTTCTGGGGTAGATGTGCAGAATGTGCAGGTTTGTTACATAGGTATACATGTGCCATGGTGGTTTGCTGCACCCATCAACCTGTCATGTACATTAGGTATTTCTCCTAATGCTATCCCTCCCCTACCCCCAGCCATCCCCTGACACGCCCCACTGTGTGATGTTCCCTGCTCTGTGTCCACGTGTTCTCATTGTTCAACTCCCACTTACGAGTGAGAACATGCGGTGTTTGGTTTTCTGTTCTTGTGTTAGTTTGCTGAGAATTATGGTTTCCAGCTTCATCCCTATCCCTGCAAAGGACATGAACTTATCCCTTTTTATGGCTGCATAGTATTCCAACACTTACCCATTTTTCTCCTGCACTACTGTATACACTGATTGGGGGTTGTCGGTCCAGCAGTTCAAAAAAGCGTGCAGCTGATATTTTAGCTTTTGCATAACTTGGGGTGTAAGAGAAGGTTCTTCCAAGAGCTGTCGCACTCAGTACAACTGCAGAGATCACCCTGTAACCAGACAGACACACAGGCAGAGAGCAGAGAGTAGTAGTTGGTGTGATGACCTGAGGGCAGAGGTTTGGGGATCTAGCCCTGGTTCTGCTAGGAAAGGACCAAATATCCTTAAGCAAGTCACTTTAGATTTGTCTGGGAATGAAGAGGGTGGTGTTTAAGAGATTAGCAGTTTCCAACTGTGTTCTGTGAAAAAGGGGTAAGAAGAGGACTGAATGAGCATGAAGGAGAGAGCTCAGACCTCCAAACCTTTATTTGACCACAATAGCTTCTTTTAAGAAAATTGTTGGAGGGGGAAAAAGACTTCTGAAGGTTTTTTTTTTTTTTTTTTTAAAGAAAAAGCAGGCTTGAAAGATCACCAGATTGAGTTGATTTTTCTAGAATTGTAACAGTTTTTTGAACCTATAATAGATATGTAAAAGATAATGATTGATGATGTAAGCTTCAATTCTGTACCAGGTATGTATATAATTTATGCTTCAGAGAGCAAGACAGATGAAATTGCCTGTCTCCTTCTTCTTGTGTTAGCCTCTAACTATATTCAACATGTACTTAATTAATGAGAGTGAGTGAATGAATGAATGAATGATAAATATAATGAGAGATAACTTTGTTGCTGTACAGACTGTGATGTGAGTAGTAGCCCCCAAAGCTGTTCACCTGCACTGTCATGCACAGAGGGTCTGCCTCGGATGGGGATAGGGATAAGGGATGTGTCTTTGTGTGTCACACTGCTCAGTTCATAAGCAGGAATTGTTTTAGGCCAGAATTGCAAATCCAAACATCTCCAGGAGCCCAATTTAAAGCCTAAGGGAATGAAAAGCACTTGAAATGAAATGGAAAATGGTCGAAGATGACCTTCCAATTTTTAAAGTGAAGCCTGAAATTCAGTTTTCCGTAGTCCCAGATTTTTTTTTTTTTTTTTTTTTTGAGATGGAGTCTTACCCTGTCACCCTGGCTGGAGTGCAGTGGCATGATCTCAGCTCACTGCAGCCTCCGCCTCCTGGGTTCAAGCGATTCTCCTGCCTCAGCCTCCCGAGTAGCTGGGATTACAGGTACACACCACGACACCCGGCTATTTTTTTGTATTTTTTGTAGAGACGAGATTTCGCCATGTTGGCCAGGCAAGTCTCAAACTCCTGACCACAAGTGATCCACCCACCTTGGCCTCCCAAAGTGCTGAGATTACAGGCGTGAGCCACCGCGCCCAGCCTGTAGCCCCAGATTTTTACACATTGGCAAAAAATTATTCTAAAACCTTAATATAAACTAAATAAAAATAACCCAATGGTTTGCGTTTTTTTCTAATTTAGATTAGTAGCTTTAAATATCAAAGATTTAGAAAAGAGAGACTTTCCTGGCTGGGTGGGTGTAGTGGAGCGGGAGAGGAGTGCTGAAAGACACCAGGTGAGAAGGCGGGACTCATGGCTAGAGAAGGAAACCCAAGAACAGATTCCTATAGGACCACTTTTCCTAATGCCCTCCAAACCTTTCTCAGACCATCTCCACCTTTATACCCGGCCCTCTCCCCCACCCATATACATGTGTACCTCATTCCCCAGTACGCTGACTCCCTTAGGCTTTCACCTCTGGAAATGTGAGAAATTGGACTCAAAGCTAATCTTATTAGAAAAGCAGGCTTTGGCTATACGAATGGAACATCATTCACCTGTATGGCCTATGCTGTCTCTGCCTAGGAGCAGTCAGCTGGGAACATGCCCTCTTTGCAAGAGAGGAGTTCACATAAAACAGTTCTTTATAAACCATCTTAGCCAAGGCCTCTAGATTTTCTCAGCATTAACATCTGTGGCAGATTGTTTATAAACAATGATCATATTAATTCACACTATCATGCATCCCTTTGCAACACGACTTTTTTACTCCTCTCATCAAAAAGTGGATTCTATTTTTTTCTATTCCTTAAACCTGGGCTTGATGGTATGACTTTCTTTGGCCAAACAGAAAATTAGAAAGTCTCTTTGCATGGAGAGACTTGAAAAGTACTTGCACAGTGGGGCTTGCCCTCTTTTGTGGCACTTGGAACTCTGAGGCCATAATATGAAGAAAAGAAGCTCATCTGCTTGACAGGCCATGTGGAGACAGAAGAATACACAGAAGCCTGACTGAATCAGCCCAGGTCAGAAGAACCACCCTGACGACCCACAGAATCTTGAAAAATAATTAATCCCACCTATTGTAAGACACCAAGCTTGGGATTGTTCGTTAAGCAGCAAAAAAGCTAACTGACAGAACCAGGCTATTCCTTCCTTGTGTGTTGATCTTTTCTCACCTTGGCTGGATATTCCTCACCTGAACACGTAGCTGAAATGGAGCCCCTCATTGGGGATTAAGTAACCTCCATATCTGTAGGAAGCAGAATTTGCAACAAACAGGATGCATTGGGAAAAGGCAAAGCAGAATCCATAAACGTTGGCTTTCTGAATGGCTGTCTTGAGGGGCTTCTCCAGCTCAGTCTCAAGTGTTTCAATGAACCTCCTCTCCTTTCCAATTCCAGCCACAGTGCGGATGTTACTGAGGGCTTCGTTTGTAATCTGAAGATCGAGAAAGAGTCTTAGGAATACAAGGGCAGAAATAACTCCTTTCATGACATTTCAATGGCTACGTGGATTAGATGGTGCAAATGGCAGAATGTGGTACAAATCAGAGAATGCATCATCTGGGAATACAAAGAAGTGGCTGGAGATCAACCCAACTGGACCACGAGACAATTTTTCAGTTAAATTCAAGTTTTCCTTAATTCTAACATGGCATGGCTTTGTTGCCTCCACTTGTGGTGGAAGAGAGAAGGAAAAATAAAGGTACACAGTTATCCTTGAAAGCTTTTTAGCTTCTTCGTTAATTCATTTGAAATGTATAAAATGGTATCTTTAAACATCTTCTGAGACAAAAGATTAATAATATACATTTAAAATATTAGATTATATTTTCTTAAAAAATCAATCTGGCCAAATATTATATAACTTAAATTAGTTTTAGCAGTAAACAAAATTAATTAAATTTATTTGCAAATAATGTTTTAGGAAAAATGAGTATTTATACCTCTAGTGGTAAAACAATACTTTTTTTTCCATAGCATTAAAAAATGTTTAAGTTGTATATATTTAGGGGGTATGAGTGCAGATTTCTTGCAGGCATATATTGTATAGTGGTGATATCTGGGCTTTTAGTGTACCCATCACCCGAATAATTAATTTCATATACAATAGGTCATTTTTCAACCCTCACTCCCTCCCGCCCTCCCTCCTTTTGTGGTCTTTAATGTCCACATTAAAGATGTAGACATCTTCCACATCTTTATGTCCATCCATACCCACTAACATAACTTGAAATGAGTAGGAAATGTATCTTTTAGTCTATACTATGAATTTGTATTTGTTTTAACCCACACTCTAGGGCAAGTAATCACTGTTTCTGAATTAGGGTCTTACCCTAAAAAGGCAAAAAGGTGGGCCCCTTTGTTCCATTAACATATGAAGTCCTTTTGGCTTCTGCCTACTTGAGCAGAGTTCACGTTCCCTTTTTTAAAAGAGACAGAACCTAAGTTATTGTGAATTTGTTAAAAGAGTGTGTATATGCATGTGTGATTTCTTTCTTTTTTCTTTTCTTCCTTCTTCACTCCCTTCCTTCCTTCCTTCTTTCCTTTCCTTTTCTCTTTTTTCTTTCTTTTCATTTCTTTTCTTTCTTTCGTTCTTTCGTTCTTTTGTTCTTTCCCTTCCTCCCTTCCTTCCTTCCTTTTTTTTTTTTTGATGGAGTTTTGTTCTTGTCACCTAGGCTGGAGTACAGTGGCGTGATCTTGGCTCACTGCAGCCTCCATTTTTTTTTTTTTTTTTTTGATGGAGTTTTGTTCTTGTCACCTAGGCTGGAGTACAGTGGCGTGATCTTGGCTCACTGCAGCCTCCATCTCCTGGGTTCAAGTGATTCTCCGGCTTAGCCTCCCGAGTAGCTGGGATTACAGGCACCTGCCACCATGCCCAGATAATTTTTGTCTTTTTAGTAGAGATGGGGTTTCACCATGTGGGCCAGACTGGTCTTGAACACCTGACCTCAGGTGATCTGCCTACCTCGGCCTCCCAAAGTGTTGTAATTACAGGCATGAGCCACTGGCCTCCCAAAGTGTTGGGATTACAGGCGTGAGCCGCTGGTCTCCCAAAGTGTTGGGATTATAGGCGTGAGCCACCGCCCCCGGCCTGTGTGATTTCTTATACTTGAGAAGTGTTTATGCCACCATCCCTCATTTATCCCCAAGGACAAGATATTAATTAGAACACACTTTAAAATGTGTAGCTAAAACCTAAGTGTATCCAAAACCTAAACTGCAGCTCATAATTCTAGTTGGGAAAGACACTTGCCCCAAGCCTGGGGGACACTACAGTGTGAAGAGAAAAGGCGTGTGCCATTAAAACCATCATAGCTCCTCTGTGTATGGAAAGCATAGCTCAGGGAAACCATTAGATTGCAAAAGCCTCACAGCCAGAAAACTGAACTATCTACTCCTGCAAGTGAGAGTGTACCAAATTGGAATGTGGAAAAAATCACTATGCAAGAGGAAATTGAACAGGCAATCCTCTGTTCACCCCACTATTTCTCCACACCGGCTCAAACTCAGAGCCTTGGAGCCTTATTGCCTCAGTCTTTGGGCCAAATATGCATGGAAAGGGTGGTGGAAGGTTCTTAAGTGTGCCTGTCTGTGGGCTGACAGCTTCCTTAAGTCTCTTCCTACTATTTGTTTTTAACAATTTGTCTGATAGACACTCAACCATGAGGAATGGGAAAATTAGATGTGCAAGATTACCTGTCCCACCATCTCCAGGGCCCGCTTATCTCGAGAGGCAAATCCTGTCAACATCCTGGTCTGTGTGGCTCCTGATAAAGCCAAGAAGGGGAAGAAGCACAAGATGACCAGGCTCAGCTTCCAGCTAAAGTAGAAGGCAATGATCATGGCCACAGTGACGTTAGTGAAGGAATTGACCATCATCCCAATCTGAGAGCCAGCAGCCTGCAAACCAAAAAGCATTCAACCCATCTCAGACACACAGTCTCTTTTACCAACTACCATTATACAAAAAGGTCAGATCTTTTATAAAATTGCGATAAAATATACATAACAATATATATCATTTTAATCATTCTTAAGTGTACAATTCAGTGGCATTTCACAATGTTGTGTAACCATCACACATCTATACCTAAAGCTTTAAAAATCATGCCCAACAAAACTCTGTATCCATTAAACAATAACCTCCCTTTCTTCTCTCTCCCTCAAGCTCTTGGTGACTTCTATTCTAACTCTCTGTCTGTGTAAATTTGCCTACCCTAGGTACTTCTAGAAGTAGAATTATACAATATTTTTCCTTGTGTGTCTGGCTTATTTTGCTAAGCATAATGTTTTCAAGCTTCAGCCATGTTGTAGCAGGTATAAAAATTTCATTCCTTTTTATTTTTATTTTTTGTTTATTTTATTTATTTTGGGACAAGGTCTTTGTCACCCAGGCTGGAGGACAGTGTCATATTTTGGCTCACTGTAGCCTTGACTTCCTGGGCTCAAGCACCCCTCCTGTCCCAGCATCCTAAGTAGCTGGGACCACAGATGCATGCCACTACACCTGCTAATTTTTTAATCTTAGTAGAGATGAGGTCTCACTATTTGCCCAGGCTGGTCTTAAACTCCTAAGCTCAAGTGATCCTCCCACCTTCGCCTCCCATAGTGTTGGGATTGCAGGCATGAGCCAGCACACCTAGCTTCATTCCCTTTTAAAACTGAATATTCCATTGTATGCATATATCACATTTTGTTTATCCATTCATCCATTGATGGACACTGGGGTTATTTCCAACTTTTGGCTGTTGTGAATAATGCTGCTATGAACATTGGTGTATAAGCACCTTTCAAGTCCCTGCTTTCAATTCTTTTGGATATAGACCTAGGAGTGGAATTGCTGGGTCATATGGTAGTCCTCTGTTCAAAAAGTTTATTTCTTTTAAATGATTAA